ATCGTCGCGCATCGCCTCTCTCCGGAGTGTTCCAGAAGTCGCTATAGTGATCGACAGGAAGAAGAAACCCCGGTGAGTCAATACTCCTTAATTATACCTGCTTGCTAATAATTTAACCCGCTCCAATTTGTGTTTTTTTTCTAGTCAAGCAGGATTCCTTTCATCGATTCGACAAGTAATAGTTTAGTTTAGGGAAGAGCGAGTGCATTGTACCGCATGCTATAGTAGTCGCTTTTAACGTAAGCGTAGAAGCAATCGCATATACAGTCCACTTTAGTTAATATCTCGCGTAATAGGTTTGAGGTTTGACCGGGGAACTAGATTTTCGGCAGCCTTAAACACGTGGCTCCACCATTTTATGGTCACTTCGGCAGGATCTGGATTGGTGTTTAGTGGTTATCCAACCATTTTCTGGTCGAATTATTAAATTAATTGTTTAGATAACGCACTCTAACTTATGGAATAGACTTAAATAGTGTTCGTTTAAATTAAAATTTTGATTTGTTACTCGCAAACAGAATTATTCATTTAATAGCGCTCGTATTTGGTTAAATTTAAAGCTAATTAAATAATTGAAACGGCGTGATAGCAACCGTTTGATACGCTTACCCCACAATTTTATAAAATTATTAGGTTTAGCAAACGACGCGTAGCCTTGACTGCATCGGGCGCTCGATCTGATTACGTAATACAGCACGCCGAGTATTCATCCTACGTCGTTTATGCGTGTGAGATTAATTGTGATTAATATAACTTTATTATAATAATTTAAAATGGCAGTTAGTGGAAGTGAAATCAAAATTAAAACGCTTTATGCCAAGAGGGACATACTCTTTTCGCGTGTGCAAAATATAAGTGATTATATAAAGAACATTCATATAGAGGCAGTACGGGAGGCCTTTTTTAAATGAAATCGAAACGATAGATAATTTGCGGACAGATTACGAAAGAATATTAGACCAAATTAATCATTCGGAACTACAAACCGACCCGAAATACATAGTGAACTACCAACCGCTGCTGGCATTCGAAGATATGTTGTGTCGCGTGAAGAGAACCGCAAAATTGCTACAATCTCAAGGTGAAGCGAAGCCTGAAATGCAGGTACGCCCTCGTGACTCAATTAGGTTACCGCCAATAGATATTCCGGTATTCAATGGTGATATTAAGACGTGGCCCTTCTTCTTCAGTAGTTTTCAAAACAATATACACAACAACCCATCGTTATCGGACGCTGAAAAATTATATTACTTAATTAGCAAACTTAGTGGCAGAGCACAGTCGATCTGCTCGGGTTTTACACCTACAGCAAACAATTACGTATTAATATTTGAAACGCTTAAAACTAAATATGAAGATAGGAGAATGTTAGCTTCCGAATATTTGAACCAGATATTCGATCTTAAACCTATATCATCCGCGAACATCAACGGCTTAGAGCAGTTTCTCGATAAATTTGTGGCATCGGTGGCTGCACTTAAGAATTTGAAGTTTGATGACCTTATGGACGTGGTGTTTCTCCATATAGCATTAAAGAAATTAGACTCCGACACCGTGCGTGCGTTTGAAATGGAGCATCGTAGCTCGGAGATGCCTTCCTTTCATTCATTAGCATCGTTCGTGCGAGATCAAATAAAGGTGATGCAGCGCTCACCGAACGTTAAACAGGAGATTAAAAGGTGCGTCGACCGTAGACAGACTCAACCATCTAAAATAGCAGGGTCGTTAACTTACGTAACCGCTACGCCGACATCACTCCAGCATACTTGTATAGTATGTAAAGATAAACACGGTAACTTATATAACTGTGCGACTTTTCGTAAATATTCACCAAGCGAACGTTATAAGTTAGTAAAGACAAACAACCTATGTTTGAACTGCTTAAGCGATAAGCATTTAGTTGCAAAATGCAATTCGAGTTCCGTATGTAGCAAGTGCGCCAGGAAACATCACACGCTATTACATTTTGAAAATAGCAACATAGCGGCGTCAAGTAAGGCGAATAAGGAATTCACCCCTACTAAGGTCAACGATTCTAGCGGTCGACCTGATGATGTCGCTCTGTGCTCATTGGCAAATATGGGAGCACAACCTCCTTCAACCGTGTTACTGGGTACGGCGCGTATTTTGGTTAGGGATTCGCGTGGAAACAAACAAAGCGTCCGTGCACTGCTGGACAGCGGAGCCCAAAATAGCTTTATAACACGACAATGTTGTCAGCGCTTAGGCTTAGTAATAAATAGGTCACTTTCATGTCCTGTAGTTAAAGGCATCGGAGGTACTAGTAAAGCGACACAGGGATATATAAATTTAAAATTTTATTCTCGGATAGATCGTAACGTTAACTTTGATATAAATGCACTAGTAGTAGATAGGGTCACTGAACGGTTGCCAACCGTTTCGGTTGACACCTCGGCAATGATTGAATTTAAAAATTTGACTCTAGCAGACGACACTTACGCCGTTCCTGGAAACATAGACATGCTCATTGGGGCATCGCTTTTCCCTCATCTTTTGTTAAACAATAAGGTCAGGGGCAACTCCTCGCATACCGCGCCTTACGCACTGGAAACCGTATTGGGCTATGTGATCCTTGGCTCCGCCCCCATCCTAGATAGTATTTCGGCAGCCTCTTATTGTGGTATGGCTGTCGAACCGCTCGAGTCGTTAGTCCGCAAATTTTGGGAGATGGAGGAGGTGAACGTCCCACCCATAGCTAGTTCAGCTGACAGGATATGCGAGGAAATTTACGTCCGCACGACCGTTCGTGATCGCGACGGTAGATATAGTGTAGCGCTACCCTTTAAGGGAGATGTTTTATCTCTCGGCGATTCGCGTCAAATGGCGGAAAAACGTTTCTACAGCTTGGAGCGTAGGATGCTCGCTTCGCCCCAGTTAAAGGAAGCTTACGACGGCGTCATTAACGAATATATAAGAGAAGGTTACATATCACTTGTGGCTTCGAAATTAGATAACTACGAAGACACACCGTCGTATTTTATACCACACCACGGAGTCATTAGAGAGGACAAACTTACATCTAAATTACGTGTAGTGCTCGACGCTAGTGCTAAAACTAGCACTCACCTGTCGCTTAACGATATCCTCTATAGTGGGCAAAATTTACAGGGGCAGTTTATTTGATATAATAGTCAATTTTCGTTTGTTTAGTATAGCACTATCCGCCGATATTCGCCAAATGTTTCTTTGCATAGGGGTCCGTGAATGCGACCGTAGATTCCAGCGCATTTTATATCGTTTCAACCCAAAGGAACCTCTAATGGTGTTTGAATTTAACCGCGTTTGTTTTGGTTTAAAGTCGAGCCCATTTCATGCGTTACGCACGGTGAGACAGCTCGCTCACGATGAAGGTCCCTCTTATCCTAAAGCTAAGAGGGCAATTGAGAGCGGATTATATATGGATGATTTTGTGTATTCGGTCGATAGCGTGGAGGAGGCCACCCTAACCACCGCCGAGGTTATAAGGCTCATGAAATCGGGTCAATTCGATCTTGTGAAGTGGACTAGTAATTCGCGTCCGGTTTTAGATACAATCCCACTATCACACCGTCTTTCGGCGATAAAGGAATTCGACGATTCCGATACACACAAGGTGCTCGGTCTGTGTTGGTCACCAGAGTCCGACGTGTTTAGCCTTAAGGTAAATCCGCCCGTAGAGAAATGCACAAAGCGCACAATACTGTCATGCGTTGCTAGATTATGGGACGTCATGGGTTTCGTAGCTCCGGTGGTATTATACGCTAAGCTTTTGATTAAACAACTTTGGTTATTTGAATGCGATTGGGATGACTCGCCGCCTGACAGCATTGTTCGATTGTGGCAGCGCTTTAGAGAGGAACTTCCTTTACTAAGAGAAATTAAAATACCGCGTCATATAAATGTCGATAGAAATAGCAGCATAACGGTTGTTGGATTTGCAGACGCCAGCGAGAAGGCTTACGGGGGGCGTTGTATATTTCCATGTCCAGAATAATGGTAGAAATTCGATTAGCCTCATTAGTTCTAAGTCGAGAGTCTCCCCCCGTAAGGTTGTCTCTCTGGCGCGCTTAGAGCTTTGCGCAATATTAGTACTCACCAAGCTTATTACCACAGTTATCGGCGCATGTAGGGATAGAGTTCACATAGAAAGAATATTTGCCTTTTCCGACTCCACCGTCGCCTTATGTTGGGTTCATTCTTCACCCCACCGTTGGGATACGTTTGTCGCGAACCGAGTGGCCAAGATCCAAGACGAGTTAGAAACGCGGAACTTTTATCACGTGTCCGGTAAGGAAAACCCTGCCGATTGTCTATCCCGGGGACTCACCCCGATGCAAATAATGGACCACCCGCTTTGGTTCCATGGACCTTCTTGGGTTCACTTGGATCCCTCACAATGGCCAATAACCGATTTCGAACCTTCGTCAGTGTCACAACCGCCGGAAGAGAAGAGACACGCTCTAGTGGCGAACGTTTCGAGCGAGGTTTCTCCAATCATTGCTCTGGCGAACCGCTTGTCCTCTTGGTCGAAATTATTGCGTAGCGTAATTTACGTTTGTCGATTCGCGAAGCTTTTACCGCGACGTTCGTATGTCTTAGCATCCGATTACAACTATGCCGAGTCGCTAGTATTACGTGAACTTCAACGTGCACACTTCTCTGAAGAAATTACAAGATTACAATCGAATAGAGCTTGTAGTCGCGCCTTTCAACGCCTTAAGCCATTTTTACAGGATGGGATTGTAAGGGTAGGTGGACGCTTGTCCAACTCGCAGTTGAGTTTCGACCAACGGCACCCTATAGTTTTACCGCGTAAAGACCATATCATGAACTTATTAGTCGATTATCATCATAAATTGAACTCGCACGCTGGCCCCGATTTATTGATGTCGATCTTGCGCCAGAATTATTGGATTCTTTCTGCACGTAGTTTAATACGCAATCGGGTGCACAGATGTATAGCTTGCTTTCGGGCACGCCCCAAGCCGTCATTTCCGGAAATGGCGGAACTTAGATCTTGTAGAGTGATACAATCGGTAAAGCCCTTCACGCACACCGGGTCTGATTTTGCTGGTCCGTTTAAGGTCACGCTCACTCGCGGGCGTGGTATAAGATCCACAAAGGCTTACGTCTGCATTTTCGTATGTCTAACTACTCGAGCAGTGCATATAGAACTCGTTGGTGATCTAAGCACAGCAGGCTTTATGGGTGCATTTAAAAGATTTCTATCGCGCAGAGGCCCTGTAAGTAAATTATATTCGGATAACGGTACGAACTACGTCGGTGCAAAACGTATTCTATCGGAACTACACGAGCTCTTAGCTAGCAAGTATTATAATTCGGAGTTCGCTCACATTCTAGCCGAGAACCGCATTGAGTGGTCTCTGAACGTCCCAGCCGCGAGTCATTTTGGGGGCAATTGGGAGACTAATATTAAAAGTCTAAAGAGCCACTTATACCGAGTAATAGGAGATCAAATTTTGTCCTTCGAAGAGCTAAGTACGGTGCTCGCTCAAATTGAATGCGTAATGAATAGCCGCCCACTTTGTCGGACGTTATCTAGTGACCCCTCGGAACCGCTGGCTTTAACTCCAGCACATTTTTTGACTTTAACGCCTCTAAGGTATCTGCCCGCCGCGGATATGGATGAGAACAGACTTAGCATTTCCACACGCCACAAATTATTAGATCGGTTAGTGCAATCGTTTTGGAAACGATGGAGGATGGAATACTTGCATACTTTGCAGTCTCGGCAAAAATGGAACACAGCGACAGAGCCTTTAGCTGTAGGAACCGTAGTTGTGCTCACTAAGGAGAATACGCCGCCTCTCCACTGGCCGTTAGGAATCGTCGAGGAGGTCTTTCCCGGTTCCGACGGAGTAATTAGGATAGCTCGCGTTAAGACCACGGTTGGGTCTTACCTACGTCCTGTTATCCGTTTGTGCCCATTGCCTCTTCCATAATTTAAATTAGCTTTTTAGACTGAAATTGTAGTTTAATTTAGGTAATCTTAGCGTTAGTTAGTTATTTGTTAGTCGATCTTAGCTCTAGTTGTTTAGTTATTTTTTTTTGAAGGAAATCCTTCAAGGGCGGGGGAGATGGTTGCGCGGAAAACGATTCGCGTTTTTTTTATTTTTGACGGTAGGAACTTGTCGAATCATTATTCCCTTCCGAAACAATATCATTCGTACCCTCCTATCGACACATCGGGGTGGTGGGGGGGGAGGGGAAAGAAGACGATTCTAGAACATCGCGTAATCATCGGACCCGAGGATATATAAGACACGCGCGACCGACGCGCGCTCTCTTCTCCCGCCGCAGTCGTCGTTGAACTACAACCTCCTCTTCCCGCGCGCTCGTTTGGAAACACCTCACTAGTGGAAACCGCTTTGGCCTGGAAGCAGTCGAGCTCCAGGAACCCGCCTCACCTCGTGTGAGATATCGTCGCGCATCGCCTCTCTCCGGAGTGTTCCAGAAGTCGCTATAGTGATCGACAGGAAGAAGAAACCCCGGTGAGTCAATACTCCTTAATTATACCTGCTTGCTAATAATTTAACCCGCTCCAATTTGTGTTTTTTTTTCTAGTCAAGCAGGATTCCTTTCATCGATTCGACAAGTAATAGTTTAGTTTAGGGAAGAGCGAATGCATTGTACCGCATGCTATAGTAGTCGCTTTTAACGTAAGCGTAGAAGCAATCGCATATACAGTCCACTTTAGTTAATATCTCGCGTAATAGGTTTGAGGTTTGACCGGGGAACTAGATTTTCGGCAGCCTTAAACACGTGGCTCCACCAATTGTCGTCTAGGTTGAACGGGTCCCAGTACCTGAATTTTCTACAAAATAATTTAAATGGTTTATTGTTTGAAGTTAATTTACAAACGAGGAGGGATATGATATTTCAAAATGACGGTGCTCCTTGCCATTTTGAAAGACAAGTGAGGGAGCACCTCAACAGAACTTTCCCAGGAAGGTGGATTGGGCGTACAGGGCCAAACGAATGGCCTGCACGCTCACCAGATTTAAACCCTATAGATTTTGTTATTTAGGGATTCTACAAAGAGATGGTGTATGCTAGAAAAATTAATTCGGAAAATGAATTAAGGGAAAAAATTGAGACAGTGCGCAGAAAAAATCAAAGAAAATACGAATGCTTTTCGAAGACTAAAAGCAAATTTTTTAAGACGATGTAGACTGTGTATCGAAGTTAATGGCCGCCATTTCGAAAATTTACTTTACATAAATTTATCTTAAATTATTTACTACTTTTATTATGAATCTTGAAATCATTTGTCCAGAACGTAGTAAAATGATACCTTGTTGTCTATAAATTTTAAACAATAAGTAAAGACACTTGATGTTATTTTTGCTAACCTGAAGCATTTACTATCTTAGTTTAGCCCTAGACATGATAAAAAGATTTTTTAAATCAAATTAACTATTCAGGTAGTTTCCTGCCTGAGTGACTTCAGAAGTCTGTAACAGAAAAACTGGCCTATTAAGTGTGATTTTTTAATGTTATTATGAAAGATTAAGGTACTGCCAAGTTTTTAAAATTAATTAGAAAGTATGAAATCATTTATTACTATTTTTCATTTAATGTTGAAAATTCAAGCCCCACTCTCCTGACAGAAAATTTTTAAGGTTCGATTAAAATTATTGTATCTTCGGTGAATGTTAGGAAGCTAATTATTTTATGCATAATAGGGCAACTCATAAGGATCATGCTACAAACAAAAAAAACTTGGAAAAAATTTCACAATTACATTTTTTTTAATGTTAAGCTGTTTAGGGTGAATATTTTCAAAAAAAAGGGTAAAAAAAATCATAACTCGAAAACTACAAAAAATCGCGTAACATACATAGGGTATTTTCGGATACCCCTAGGTGTGAGGAATCAAAAAAAAATTTATAACCTCACTGTTTGGACCATCCTGTATATTGTATTTGTATTTTGTATTTGGATTTTGTATTTTTATTTTGTATTGGTATTTTGTATTTGTATTTTGTATAACTTCTATGTCCAGTAAAAATATTTTTAAGTCTTATAAACAGTGTAGTAACTATTCATTCGTTATTAAAATTAAAAAAAAATTTTTGGCTAACCGCACGCTAATTGCGTAAAAAATACGGTGGAATTGATAAATTGCTGCATTTATGTCAGCTATTAATTCAAACTCTACGTTGTATTTATTACCAAGCGACTGTGGTGTGTGGTGACGGCGTAAGACAATTCATCAACCGATTTCGTTCCTAGGGTGACGTAATAAGTAACTATGCGAAATGCCATTATTATGACCACCGATAGATTGAATTATAACCATCTTACATTACGACAGAGGTAAAATGCCCAGCACGGCAACAGGGAGCAGCTTCAAAGATGCGAGATGTCTGGTACTGCATTCAACAATCCGCTCGCCAAGCGTGACGATAAAGGCAAAGCCTTGTTTTATAGAACGAAGGTGACAAACGAGCACATATTCCACTTGATGGTAAGTGGATGCTGTGGTCAATAGACATCTACATCTAATCCTTGATTAATAATCAAAATGCAGATGCGTTATTACCCCTGAGAGCTAAAACGGAATGCCTCGTTTCAAAAACAGTGTCTCCGGTTCTCTACATACACCGTACGAAACACAGCAGCATTAAGCTGGTATTCAGTTAGAAAGTTCACTCACTATATATGATTTTAGATAGAGTTTTAACGTTGTGGTATAGTAACCATTAAAAATTTAATATTAACGTGGAAGGGCCACCTACAGCTATATTACGGTTGTAGCACGAATGGTTTGACTCGAACAGGGAAGAACCATGCTCTCACAGAATATCAGCAATAGTACTTAATACTGTTGTGTTTTGTATGGTGAGTGAAGAGATCTGGATACCCTTTTTTTCTGGAATCGAGGCATTCCATCGTAGTCCTCAAGGGTGACAACGCATCAATGTTTTGATTCTTAATCGAGGATAAATGTAGAAGTCTATGGGCCTCAGCATCCACATACTATCAGGTGGACTGTGTGGTGTGGTGGACGGTGGATTTATTCTATAAAAAAAAGAATGTGATAATGATGATGATTTTAAAAATGACGACAAAAGACACGTCAGCAATGGCTAAGGCATTGCGGGGCCGTGGGTTTGAACCCGAACAAAATAATTGTTTCTATGACCTATAAATCATTGTTCTGGGTGTTTGTCCATCTGTAATTTGTGTATATAAAATGCCTCCACGTTATAAAAAAATAATAGGAGTAGAGTTTTAGAAAAGAAAGTAAAAAAATCGTGTCAGATATCGTCACAGTTACAGGTTTGAAATACAAAAATAACCTTGTAAATAAAAAAAATATAAGTAGAAAGCTAATATATTTAGTCAAACGATATATCCTAAGTAGCATAAATATTATTTTAGCAAATTTTAATGGTAACTAATATTAACAAATACTAACAAATACATAATAAGATAACAAACAAGAAAATGCTTATTTGCTACGAGTAGCGGGCAAGTATGTTTGTACATTACTCGTAGGCTGTATCTGATACGATAACACTTTCTTCTATTAATTTATTGTCTGAAAGTATAAATTAACTAGAGCATGGTAAAATATAAATCAAAATTAGTGTACAAAATTTGTGTACTTGGTTTTTTGTTTGTTTGTTTCAATTTCATCTCGTTATGGTGGTCAATACATCACTGTCAGTGCGGTGTGACGCCATCTACATGAGTTACAAGGCTTTCTTGGAATGTGATTAATCTGAACCAAAGCTTTTGTCACGCTTCTATTTCAAGCGTATAATATTAGTATGTGTGCATTTTTGTGAAGAGTACTTTAGAAAAATTTAATTATTATATTAAATTTTTCTAACGTATAAAATATTTTGTAAGTAAAATATATTTAATAGTCCAGGAAAAATCGGTGCATGAATACCGAAAATTACACCACCTCAATTATCTTTGGGACTATCTAAAAATTGTCCTACTGATATCTTGCGTGGTAGAGCCATGCTGTAATTATATGAGTAGTATAGCTGTAGCACGAATGGGTCGGCTCGACCGGGGAAGGACCACGCTTTCACAGGATATCAGCGTAAAATAGCAGCTTAACACTGCTTTGTTTCGTATGGTAAGTGTAGAGAACTGGAGACCCTTTTTAAAGAAAATGAGGCATTCCATCTAGTTCTCACGGGTGTCAACGCATCTACATTTCGATTTTTAATTGAGCATAGATGTAGTTGTCTATGGGCCACAGTAACTACTTACCATCAGGTAGACTGTGCGTTCGTTTGACACACTTATCATATAAAAAAAACAAAATAATAATTATATAAAATGCATGTTGTCATGGGGAAATTCGGTGCCATATTGTTGAAACTAATTTTATTTTCAATTGCATGGAATAGTTATTTTCAAACGGAACGGTTATTCTTTTATATTCTTTGATAAAAATTAGTGTTGCCCAAATGCAAGAACAAGACGAGACTTAGCCAGTCTTGGTCTTGGTCTTGCGCCAATACACCTGGTCTTGTTCTTGGTCTTGGTATTGCGCTCTCAGTCTTGTTCTTGGGCTTGGTCTTGCAGCAAGAGTCTCGCAAGTCTCGCAATTACCTATTAACCTATTGTTATTTATTAAACGTTACTTTAGAGACAACTTAACAGAGTAGGCACATTTTGAGCTTGAATTAACATAGCCACAGAAAGACCAACCAAATTAATAAATGTCTAAACATTTAATGACAAATTCGAAAAATCAACTAATACCGGGTGGGGTTAAACCCGCGACCTAAGCGATCCGTGCCGATGCTTTAACCAACTGAGCTGTCTACCAAGTCTCACTGCCACGGGAGTTAGTCTGTTAATTTAATAAACGTTTACATTTAGTAAGCTTACATGTGCTAAAACTTAGTCAAAACATATAAAAAACAAATTAATGACATTAACTTGACTGTATTATAAAAAACATTATCTG